ACCTCTTTTCTTCCCTTCGCTTTATCGCGTCCGTTATTCTGATCTTTCGAATGAATCTGCGTGTTCTCAAGGGTTTCCGAGAATATGCATTATACGACACACCTTATATCGAATGTAACCTTTCCGATCTATTCGCATAATCGATTCCTTATCCTTTTTCTCTTGTCCGCCTATTATTTATTACACCACATTTGAAGTCGGCTAACTTTGCTTCACTTGTATCGTTCTTTCCCTCTCGCATCTCCTTCTTACCTATAGGCGGATACATGTATCATACACATTCAGATCGATCCCAAAACTGCACTCTCTCTCCCTGCAGAAAAAAGGCACGAACTGGCGGAAAAGTCGGCCTAACTGTATAATATTTTCATTTATTTATTATGGATGGAACTTCGTCACAATACAATTATTTTAATTTCTTTCCTTTTCTTCTGCTTCTTTCCGCAGTGGAACTGCTCCGACTCGGCACCCATCCGAGCCGAATACAACTGATTCGTACTGCGGAAGCTAGCCGCGCAGTGCGTGCAGTATTATTATAGATCCCATCCAACGACTCTTTCAATATATATATTTACGTATTTTAACATTTTTTCTCATCTTTTTTTTCCTTTTTACATCGAATGCCCATTTTCAACGATCAAATTTTTCAAAGGATCGTTATTACTAGAATCCATTACTTATACAATATCAATAGACGATCTAATTAGAGGAACGTGTCCCTTCCCCGAAAAGTGGATACTATTTACAATTGAAGGAAATATGAACGTTAAATAAGCAAACATTAAATTATCAGATTTATCACAGGACAAAGATTGTGTTATTGTGAATGTTTCCGTGAAGAAAAAAAAAGAATTATCAATCGATTGATTCGAATAAAAGACGATTTGATCTTTAAATAACCCGCCGCACGAGAGCGGCGTAAAAACTATTTCTTTTTAGCGAGATCATTTCAGCCGGAGAACACACTGCATCCACTACGCAGCAAAAGACTTCCGGTTCTAATTTTGTTTCGCTCCACCGTCCTTTCATTCTTCCCTCGAATATATGCCGTAATATTACGCATCGCCATTACAATACATCCGTATATCGTTATTTTTGGCGACTAAATGTAACCTTACGAATGTATTATACCTATTTACAGACATGCCGTGACGCACACACGCGTACCCGCGTAACACAAGCAAGTGCGAGCGCGTACGCGTGTCGGTTGCATATTTCCCACGAATTTTTATTTCTGTTCACACTTACCACGTATATAGACTATTGTATAATGCTTACGCTCTATAACCTCTAAAAGAAACGGTGCTCATTTATTGTCCTGCCATATTCTCTCCGAGTATTTGATTTTCCCGCGCACAGAATACACGCACGCACATTACAGGCATACGCTGCTTTTACACGCACGCACACACACGCACGAGTTTGGTGCTTATGTAACGTATGTAGTCATGGAAAGCTCGACGGCATAACCACCATTGTTCGTCGAGTTACAGCTTAAAGCGAACATGATCACCCCCGCGTCGCTTCCAGCTGGATAAAATCACAATTCTAACTTCGTGGAATCATTCATCGATACTCTGACTTTCTCGAACATGGCTACTGTGTGTCAGAATGAAATTCGTCATTATAATTCCCACAGATTTTCTCTATATAATTGATTCTTTTTCTTTTAACGCTCGACTATATATTATTGTCAGTTAACAGAGCGGGGGAAATGAGTTGTTCGACAGATGGCGGTAGCATCACGGGGGTAATGTTTACTTTCGACGAGAAAATTCACTTCGAGATCGAATCATCGAATTCTCTATTTTATCTCGGTTAACTAGGCAAGCTCGGTCGTTCACGGAAGGCATCGTACGGTGCTCATTATTATTTTTTTTTCTTTTTCTTTAAATCGTTGCATCAACAATCATTAACAATTTCATTCCTTTCCGTAATCCTCTCCTCGCTGTCTCGTGTCCTGTTTATCTTTTTCTCGTTATCTTTTCTTTTTTTTTCTCTCTTATTCTTCTGTTACGAGTATTTCTTTTAACCTATCTTTAGTTATTTTCTTTAGTTTCGTTAGCTTTCGTGTAATAGTGTAGGAAGTAACGGAGACATAATCGATGCCGATGGCGCGAAAGCTGGCAAGAATTTACATTGTAGTCTGTGTCACTTAGTAAATTACGTACATACATCGAGGCGAGCAGGTTGCGAATACTCTCGAATCAGAGCAAATATTTCTATCTTTAATATAACTATATATTTATAATTATATATTTATATTTATTTATTTATTTATATATATATATACTTTTTTCTTTTATCCTTCATTTAATCGCTTATACGTATGTAGTATTGTCTTCGTAAAGTTTCCTGCTTTTCCTTCCTGATGTCCTAAAAAACCCGTTGGTCGTGAAAGTATTCGAAAGTACAGAATCGAGGCTTGTCTTTCCATACGGAAAACGAAAAGGAGGGGGGTCACGAGTCTGAATCTAAGCGTGAATCTTATTACAAAATTATGGAAAACGGATTACAGGAATGCCGATGTACTGTTGTCAAAATAAATGGTTCACAAAAAATGAATGATCTATACATATATTGTTTGCACGCACTAAAGATAGATCCCATCATAATTAAACCACGTAACCACTGCCCGAAAGCAAAATGAGCGCCAATTTTTCTTGATTTCTCGATTATCGTGTTACCAAACAAAAAAAGAACGAAATTTCGTAACGCGTTCTGTGAATTAAAGGTACGGATATTTAACATATTGTTTTATTTACGTTATAAACTGATTAATTTATCGCCTTTTACGTATCATGAAGCCCAAGTTGATCATTCTAATAACGCATTCATTTTGGAATGACCACAAAATAACATATCTTCTGTTTAACACATAATAATACAGATCATATTACACACTACAATATTTATGAGACAAATTACCCTCCGCCATTAAGATTTTAATTAAATTAATACTTAGTTGAAATTATCTAAAGAATTGTCTAAATCTAATCAGATTTTGTCTCGTACAATTTCAAACATTTCGTATCAACGAATGAAAAAGTAAATCCGAATTTGCAATCGTATTTTATCAGCTCTTCATATCGTTTTTGGTAAAACAACTGCAGAAGAATTTCGTACCTTGTCTAGATGAAAAATGGCGCGATTAACGATTGACTATTATTAAATATTGACATTGTCATTATATCGGACAGATCTATCTTTATCGTGATCGAACAATACACGAACAACATTTAAAAAAAGGGGGAAAAAAGGGGGAACAAAGGAAAGAAAAAAGAACAAAAAGACGTAATAAAAGAGAAACAACAGCGATGTAACAAAGTCGATTGCACAGGAACGTTGTTTCTTATGACGCTAGAGCATCTCGAAACTAGGAAAATAAAAAATATTTCGATTCCTCTCCCATATCTGTACCAGCCAAGGAACAGACTCGTCGCGGGTTCACGGTACCGCGGCGATCGATTAGTACTATATCGTGTCGTAATATTATAATAATATAAAAATATATTTCTTAACTATTAACGCTATAATAAATGAGTATTATTAAGCATCATATCTGGAGTTTTCTTTCTCATTTCACAATTATCTTTCACGTAGTACGGACACGATGCCTGTCGCGGATAACCGGAGCTTCTTAGACGCGGAGGAAATGCAACGATGACACCCCCGCTCGGCCGAAACGCGACACTGCACACTGCCGCTTATTTTTTTTAAACTTTTTTCTGGTTTTTTTCGTTTTTACCTTTTTTTTCACGCGTTTATATATATATTCGCCTTGCGCAGTTAATTATACTCCCCATATAAGTCGACATTTCCATTAATTTCTTTCTTTTTCTTTGCTCATCAATCTTTATCAATAACAATATATATAATATAATATAATATATATATATATATATATCACTTGTCACTCGTGGTACGTGTAAATAAAAAGAGGCATAAACCGTTATAAAATACATTCTCGAGTATTATCGATCTGTAGATTAAT